CCAGAAATGACCCAATGAGACCTATGATATCTTCAATTCTCTAATTTTGGTGAATATTTTTTTTAATTTTTGGTAAAAAGTCATATTTTTGACTTCTTGTTAAAAACCGCAATTCCAATTGCTTTGATATTACATATACATGTATAAGTACTACATGTGGACCTCTTTAAGATTTGTTAATTTCAAGGTGATATCTTCAATTATCTAATTTTGATGATTATTTTTGGTGAAAAGTGATATTTTTGAATTCTTGTTGAAAACAGCAAGTCCTGTTACTATACATATTGTTAATTTTCTAATGATATATTCTGTTCTTTAATTGCAATGTACATTGCTAACAGCGGAGCTATCTCAGCCAACAGGCTGCTTGTTTTAGTGGTTATAATAACTAAATCCAATTTGTTTCAAACTTGAATTTTATATAAACCAGTTTGGGATCTCAGCCAAGTTAAAGTTTGGTATGTGTTCTAGGTATATTTCATATATTTATGAGACATCAATTTTTTAGCCTATTTTGATGTGAATAGATGGTGTAATTTTTGTACAGTTAGCGTTGAGAAAAGTGTTGCAAGATGACATTTTGACATATCCGAGATAGTCAAGAATTAATTTCTGTATAAATGCAATCAAATGTTTCTTCATATTTGGCTTTGGTATTTTATTGTCAAATGTACATCTTTTCAGTCACACTTTGTATTAATACAAGTAGTTGATCTACCAGGATTCTTGTTTTGGGAACAAATATGGAACTGTTAAAAGAAAGTGACACAACAGAAAATTTTTAGTGACAGTTTGGGATGGTGCAATTATCGCATCGCTAATTTATTCCAAACACTTGGTTGCTTAAATGAGCTTGCTAATAAAGTTTATTGTCTTTAGTTTGTCACTTACCTGGTTATGTAAATGTACAGTGAAATAAAATAATTGATTAATAATTTATTAATTTTGGTCATAATTGTTTTTATCTAATTTTTTCCATGCAAAATGTTCAAATACATTATTGCATTATTTGAAGATTTGTATCGCTTGCTTTTGACATGCAAAGAAAATATTGTACATTGTTGTTTATCCATCAATGCATTTGTTATTTGATCTAGATTCTCAAGAGACAAGTTTGTTTTAATAGTTATGTTATTTTTTCCCATCAGATATAAGGTAGTTTAAAACAGGTACTTGTGTCTGTACGATGTTTGGACATATACAAACAAGTTATACATATGCATGTCAGTTTATTTGTTGATTCATTAACTATTGTCATGCCACATGTCATGTCAACTGTTCTTCAGACATGCCTGAGACATGCTATTGTTATCATGGATAGTGATTGCATGTCACTTGGTTTCACAACTGCCATAACTTGTGTGTGTGTTATAATACATTTATTCTGTTTTCTCAGGTGTGCAATACTGGAATCCGAATAATGTCCAGCCAAAGGTTTGTTCATCTTTAACACTCATAATTCATTGTTGATGTTTTTGTTCTTGTTCATTGTAGTTTCTGACTACCATTGCAAACATATCCACCATAATGAACATGTTGATTTGTGTTTTAATGTGCTCTTGGCACAATATGACTTAATGTAAAAATAGATATTAACTGTATACCAGTATACTAGTATATTTGAGTGATCAGAATAGATGTGAATTTTTTCAAAGCTATGCATAAGGGATTATATATAGCAAAGTTAATTTAAAAGAATTTTTAGTGTGTCTGTATGTATGTGTGTGTGCGTGTCAGCCTGTTCCGCTGATATCTCAAGAACCATACATTGTTTTTTGATACAAATGCACAGATTTGATTAGGTTTTGGTAAAAATCCATGCATATTAATTACCTAATTTGTATAATAATTAGCTAATTTTTAGCTGTTCCATGACTGTTCCACTGATATCTGGACAACCACTTGTTGGATTTTGATGAAACATAGATGCTCTGAACTAATGTGCTCATTTGAATAATTTTTGAGTAAAAATCTGTGCATATAATAACCTAATTTGCATAGTGATTAGTAAATTTTCGGTTTTTCCATCGATGACTCATTTAAGTACTTATATCACATTTCACATAATTTGCGTAATTAGTTAATTTCCTGTTTTCCACTGATATCTCTATTACTAATCATCACATTTCAATAAAACTTGGTACATAAATGCTCTGGGACAATAGGAAGGCAAGATTAATTTTGAATTAAAATCTGTACATATTTTTTTTGTCTCCTCAATTTTCGAGGCGACTGTGCAGTGGTTATAATAAAAATTTACCAGCATGGAACCCGTATCTGAAATGCTATTTTTGCCGTGATTTCGTGCAGGTTTTTGCCTTGAAGACGTATGTATTTACTGGAATTCTGAGGCCTGGTATGTTTTCCAGAGCCATGCAAAATTGCTGAGACTGACCGCATTGCTCGTATTTTACAGCAAGGTCGCGCATCCAGTAAAAATCAGTTAAAGTGAGTTGTGTGTTGGCATGAGTCTACCGGTACCGGGTTTGCCATGCAGAAAATCAGGAATTTACCCTTGAGTCCAGGCTCAGCCGTGGGTATCTACTCCCTTCCTGCCGACCCACAGGCATTCCCGAAGAGGACCAACCGTGGTGTCATGAGAAGCAGTTCGTCCTCGTCATATACAGTGGGTAACCTCGGGCGGCCCTGCAGAGTCATCGATTCGTAATGACTCAATGAGCCACGCCGTTGGGGTGATGCGAAGTATCAACGAACCTATTGATAAGATGTACATACCCTCACCCTCGATCCTAAAAGCAACCACTTACTGTTGCTTCACAGGCGCAGGGATCCAAAGCACCCATGTCGACACGTCCCCCCTGGTCCGGCCGAGTACTGAGCATGGTTTAGGGTGTGCAGATGGTGTTAACGCCTAAGGCCCATGAGTGGGGTAATCTTCTGCAACACTCTCTCCGCTAGGCCAAACTATACCCAGTCAGTGTGGTTTCGGGATCAGACCCCAATGTGTGGGATGAGACCAAACGCCCTGACCAGATCCCAGGACTCCTTCCCAGACCCCAATACCACAAATTTCCATTTGGTGAACCGGGTAAAAGGGGATGGCCGCATTCCATGGGCATCCTCGTCATAATCCGAGACTATCCATCCCGCCTCGGGAACAGAATTGCTGGATCGCATTATTGTGCTCTGAGACCTCGGAGGCAAAACGCACCAGCCTCCTAGACCAAGCGACACCCCTATTAGTGAACCACCAGCAGCGGGGCAAGCATGTTTGACGCTTACCCTTGCAACGGGGGGTTGGGCATGCGAGAGGCCAACTTATTGTCTACTTCAGGCCTCATGGAGACTCGCCTCATGGGAGGAGAGAGCACCCACACCTTACAGCCGTCGAACCCATTACCACCTATCCCTGTCACATGCAGATTGTGCCGGTGAATTCCGGTTTGGAGGCAGCGGGTGACCGATCTCTGGACTTCCAGGTGATTCCACACGGTTACAGGATACTGCTGAAATCTCCATCTCCACTATCAGTGTCTCTCCCATTGGGGGCCCTGCCAGGGGACTCCCGCAAGGCGGAAGCAATCAGACAGAAAGTAGACAGTTTGCTGGAAAAGGGCCCCATACACAAGGTAGATCAGCCGGCATTAAGTCTAGGCTTCTATTCAAATGTGTTCGTAGTACCAAAATCTATAGGTGGCGGGCATCCAGTTCTGGACTTAGGCAGACTGAATCAGTAGTTGCTCCTCGATTTGGGTCAGCATGCAGACGCCATGCATCCTCCATCCACCGTTTTGACTGGCTAGCTTCACTAGACTTAAGCGGGGCCTACCTGCACATTCCGATGCACCTGGGGAGGTGCCATCTCCTTCGAGTTGCCCAGCTGGGCCAAGTATCGAATCTTGGGTGCCCCCCCCCACCTTGGGTTATGCACAGCCCTCTACGTTTCACCAGAATGGATGGAACAGGTGGTGCTGCTGCTTCACCAAACGTCGGTACACATCAAACCGTACCTAGACGACTGGTTATTACATAACCCAAACAAGGGGTTATTAGCCGAGCAAGTAAGGCTAACACAGGATTTACTTCACCAGTTGGGCTCTTTAGTAAATCAGACAAAGTCTCATCCCTACCCAACACAACAGTTAGTGTTCCTGGGCATGGGGTTCGACACAGAGGTAGGCTTGGTACATCTATTCCAAGCGTGTTGCCTGGCGCTAGCAACCTAGCCAAACAGCGTTTCCTCAGTGTCTCTCCGAGAACTAATGCAGATCATCAAAATGATGACCTTGGTTGGAAGGGTAGTTCCCCAGTCCACATTACACAGCCGCCCGGTACAATGCATGTTTTGCTACAACACCAAGCACACCTACGGGAACAGGACAGGCGAGTTTTTCTTGGACCAAGTTATGGAAGCCCTGCCCTGGTGGTCGTCAATGGTCTACCTCAGGGAGGAGGTCCCCTTGGACCCACTCTCACAGCCGTGACCCTCAAAGACTAGGGAGCGCATCTATTGGACGAACAAGCTCAAGGTATATGGCCCTCGCATTGGTTTTGGGACCGCCATATCAACTGGCTCGAACTGAAAGCAGTACATTTAGTACTACCACACTTTCTACCCATAGTTCGAGACCACAGAGTCTTGCTCCGCACAGACAACACAGCGGTGATCTCCATCTACAAGGAGGGGGGACGCATCCCCCATCGTTGTCAGTCCTAGCAGAGCGAATTCTCCTTTGGTGCCTAGAATACAATGTGGAGCTAACCACACACCACCTTCCAGGGGAGCAGTCTGGCAGACGCCCTGTCAGGCAGCTCCGCCTGCAGAACACTGAGTGGCAGATACCCTAGTGGGTAGCCTCTGGGCTGTTTTGGCTGTGGGACCGCCCTTTGTCTCTCCCCAATCAGCACCACTAAGTCTTCCTACTGGCCCTCGCCTCAGGTAGGTGTCGGTCAGAATTGACATTGTCCTTTTCGGACAATGTACCACCTTTATGGACAATCAAGTTGTGCTAAAGACATGAATCGGGTTTCTCACTAAGAACCAAATCCCAGGACACGATCCCTAGTCGATCGTTATCCCCCGGCTGTCAAACATTACCAGCCCGGAGGATCAGAAGGAATTGCTTCTTGGCCCGGTTCGAACATTGAGTTGCTATGAAAACCGTACTAGGGATTTGAGACTGGGTGCCAAGCACATGTTTTTTGTGTTACGGCCAAGGCAAGCAAGACAGGCCAGCCTTCCCGACTTCCATCACCAGGTGGATTACTGCGACTGTGTTAGAAGTCTATAGTTCCTCAGGATGGGTCCCGTCGTAGTGGATCAGACTTTGGTTGCTGACCCAGCTCAAACGACCACAGGGAAATCTGCACATAGGCGATAAGTCAGTCTCAGCAATTTTGCAGACAGATTTCTACCTTCGGCACCCCCTGGAATTACCAGGTCTGTCTTTCGCCTATGCCCTGTTTCGGTCTCTATTTCAAGCTAGTGACCCCAAAATTGGGGCATTCTTGGGCGCACGGTTGCTGTCACCGTAGCAACATTTTGGTTCTTGCTCCAGGGACGGCAAAGGCAAGGTAAGACACCATTTCCTGCATTGGTCTTAACTAGGTGGTAGTCTATTACTGGAGAGCATTATCCCGGACTGGGACACACTTTTCCTCACTTTCTGTTTACTCGGAAACCCGCCACCTATCGGTGTCTGACTCTGCCTATAGTATTTTGACTGACCGGAGTCTATGGTGGGTAATTGAACGTAGTGAATTTAAGCAGAGGGTTCTCAGAACCCGCCTATTCACATAGTTCATACCCACCACAGACTCCCCCCCCCCAACCACCCCACTTCTTCCATAGCGTTGGCTGAGTCCTCGGGCGGAGAAAGAAAGAACAAAAAGTGACATATTCAACCATATGGTTACGCCTCATGGCCTCAGTCACATGGTTCATGATGTGAGGGAAAATCTTGAGGTCACAGGGCTTCCCCTGACCTAGATTTATGTTTCCGTCATTGGCTGAATCACAGATTAATGCCTACAGTTCAAAATAGTCATTTTGACAGACCGAAGTCCATGGTGGGTATGAACTATGTGAATAGGCGTGTTCCGAGAACCCTCTGCCTAAATTATCATTAGCACAAATAACTCCATTAACATTAGCACAAATAACTCCATTATCATTAGCACGAATAACTCCATTAACTTTAGCGAAATAACTCCATTAACATTAGCACAAATACCTCCATTATCATTAGCACGAATAACTCCATTAACTTTAGCGAAATAACTCCATTAACATTAGCACAAATACCTCCATTAACATTAGCACAAATAACTCCACTATCATTAGCACAAATTATCTTTAGCGCAAATAACTTCATTAACATTAGCACAAATACCTCCATTAACATTAGCACAAATACCTCCATTAACATTAGCACAAATACCTCCATTAACATTAGCACAAATAACTCCACTATCATTAGCACAAATTATCTTTAGCGCAAATAACTCCATTAACATTAGCACAAATACCTCCATTAACATTAGCACAAATAACTCCACTATCATTAGCACAAATTATCTTTAGCGCAAATAACTTCATTAACATTAGCACAAATACCTCCATTAACATTAGCACAAATACCTCCATTAACATTAGCACAAATACCTCCATTAACATTAGCACAAATAACTCCACTATCATTAGCACAAATTATCTTTAGCGCAAATAACTCCATTAACATTAGCACAAATACCTCCATTAACATTAGCACAAATAACTCCACTATCATTAGCACAAATTATCTTTAGCGCAAATAACTCCATTAGCACAAATACCTCCATTATCATTAGCACAAATAACTCCACTATCTTTAGCGCAAACAACTCCATTTTCATTAAGACAAATAACTCCATTAGCATTAGCATAAATAACTCCACTATCTTTAGCGCAAATTATCTTTAGCGCAAATAACTCCATTAGCACAAATACCTCCATTATCATTAGCACAAATAACTCCACTATCTTTATCGCAAATAACTCCATTTTCATTAAGACTAATAACTCCATTAGCATTAGCATAAATAACTCCACTATCTTTAGCGCAAATTATCTTTAGCGCAAATAACTCCATTAGCACAAATACCTCCATTATCATTAGCACAAATAACTCCACTATCTTTAGCGCAAATAATTCCATTTTCATTAAGACAAATACCTCCATTATCATTAGCACAAATAACTCCACTATCTTTAGCGCAAATAACTCCATTTTCATTAAGACAAATAACTTCATTAGCATTAGCATAAATAACTCCATTTTCAGTAAGACAAATACCTCCATTATCATTAGCACAAATAACTCCACTATCTTTAGCGCAAATAACTCCATTTTCATAGACAAATAACTCCATTAGCATTAGCATAAATAACTCCATTTTCAGTAAGACAAATACCTCCATTATCATTAGCACAAATAACTCCACTATCTTTAGCGCAAACAACTCCATTTTCATTAAGACAAATAACTCCATTAGCATTAGCATAAATAACTCCACTATCTTTAGCGCAAATTATCTTTAGCGCAAATAACTCCATTAGCACAAATACCTCCATTATCATTAGCACAAATAACTCCACTATCTTTAGCGCAAATAACTCCATTTTCATTAAGACAAATAACTCCATTAGCATATTAAATAACTCCACTATCTTTAGCGCAAATTATCTTTAGCGCAAATAACTCCATTAGCACAAATACCTCCATTAGCACAAATACCTCCATTATCATTAGCACAAATAACTCCACTATCTTTAGCGCAAATAACTCCATTTTCATTAAGACAAATAACTTCATTAGCATTAGCATAAATAACTCCATTTTCATTAAGACAAATACCTCCATTATCATTAGCACAAATAACTCCACTATCTTTAGCGCAAATAACTCCATTTTCATTAAGACAAATAACTCCATTAGCTTTAGCATAAATAACTCCATTTTCAGTAAGACAAATACCTCCATTATCATTAGCACAAATAACTCCACTATCTTTAGCGCAAATAACTCCATTTTCATTAAGACAAATAACTCCACTATCTTTAGCGCAAATAACTCCATTTTCATTAAGACAAATAACTCCATTGTCATTAGCACAAATACCTCCACTATCTTTAGCGCAAATAACTCCATTTTCATTAAGACAAATAACTCCATTATCATTAGCACAAATAACTCTCCCAAACAAAAGCTATATACTGCACTGAAACATAACATGTGAGAGTTCAATCTGTGCATGTTGTAATTGATATTTTTTGTTTAGATTCATAAATTGTTTCTATATGTCTTTCAGTCCATTCATTCGTGACAAAGCCTATATTGGTGGTAAGTGGGTAGCAGCTACAAATGGTGGAACATTTGAAGTAAAGAATCCGGCTACCGGTGAACATCTTGGAGTGGTACCTGATATGACAGAGTCTGATGCAGTTTTTGCAATCAAGACAGCAAATGAAGCATTTCAAAGTTGGAAATCTACACTTGCTAGGGTAATTATGATCTTTAAAAACTGAATTAAGTCCATTATTACAACAGAATTTAGTAATGTAAGTAAGTTTTTAAAGTAACTTTATTATGCAATCACTTGTTATAGGATACTATGCTAAAGTAAAATTGACGAAATAATTGCACAGAATTATACCTCACTGGGGGATGTTGTTGTTGAGTTGCTTCCCTCGTAAAACTTCCGAGTTCTAAACGCATATCAGCCATTGTTATTTCATCCACTGCTGAGTGCATTGCAAATGGAAAATTGTTTTATTAAAACAAAACTCTGCTATGTTGAATTTGGTCGAATAATGCCTTGTTCTGATAACATGCATGGCTATGGTAGACGTAAGTGTTGTCTTGAAGGAAAATTCCCTGACTGTATCAACTCCATGTAGTCCAATGCAAATAACCGATTTTTGAGAATTATATTTAATTTAAGTTTTTTGTGAAAATCTAATTTATGTCAATTGTAAAAACACATTTATGATTTGTATAAATCTTATGCCAGGAGAGAACACTACTACTTAGACGATTGGATCAACTGATGCATGAACACAAAGACAGCTTGGCTAAACTAATATCATTGGAAATGGTAAGAATTTTTCTTTAAAATTATCATATCCAATCACTAACTTTTTTGCTAGAATAATAAATGTATCAGATCTTGATGCAAAACATCTCCCGCCGTGATCTTTTGACTCTGTCATCAATCAATCAGAATGTGTACAGTATCAACTCAATTGATCGAGAATTCTCGAATACTGGGATGATATTTTTTTTTATTAAAAATAAAATGTTTTCAAACTAACTTTTCCCATTAGGGTAAACCAATAAAAGAGGCAAAGGGGGAAATTATGTATGCTGCAAGCATGTTGGAATGGTTTGCAGAAGAATCTAGACGTATCTATGGTGATGTGATAGCGGCACCGACAAAGAGTAAACGTCTCGTAGTGATAAAACAACCACTTGGTGTGGCAAGTCTTATAACACCGGTATGGAAATTGACATTGCTTGGTTTGAATCAGTAACTTATGTGCTAACTTAAAAAAACAAATCAAGTGTATTGAGATGTATTGAATTTCTGTGCTCAGTCTAACACACATATCGTACTTGACTGGTGCTCAATGTGTTTGACTTGGTATGTCCACCTCTTCCAAAATGTTCTAAGTTTGATTGTTTCATATTTCAAAATAATCACAGTGTTTAATGTGACTATATTGCCAACGTGGTGTTAACAAAAAGTTACATAAATTAGAATTTGGTTATTTTGCTTAAAAGATATTCTCGAAACATATATTGACCCATTCTGTTTATTTTAGTGGAATTTTCCCTGTGCAATGATTACAAGAAAAGCTGCTGCTGCTTTAGCTGCTGGTTGTACAGTTGTCGTCAAACCATCTGAAGATACTCCCTATTCTGCATTGGCTTTGGCACAGGTAAGAATATCAACAATAGTATCCCTTAGGCTATCTCTAGTTGCATGTATATGTATGGGGGTCTAAAAACTAACTCTGTGACGCGATTGTGCGACTCGCAGACTGTCGATTATTGCACTCTGCGACAGGATCGCAGTGTCACTCTGCGAAGAGCACAATTCCTATTGGTTGGTTGGTCGAACAGCACGAATCCCAATGGTCGATGTTCACCGCAGGCCTTATAAAAAATTAAGTTTTAAATGGTAAAAAAGGTACGGTAAAAAAGTGTGTAAACACTATGTACCGGCGACATGCCGCACTGTTCAGTGATCGGCAAGCACATGGAAGACAAATTGTGGGACCAAACAAATGACACGTGGTTTACGGTTTTTAGACACATCACACCGCTGGCTAGAAAAATTAAATAGTGTAACGTGCACATTGGTTTTGACTGCCTATTTACAGTGTAACGTTATCACCATCTTGGAGTTGTAAGGCTTCGTCCTGACGACTATGCTCATTAGCATAGGCGGCAGCTTCAAAGCGAGTGGAACGCGAAGTACTTTTCACGCGTTCTGCAACGAATGTTGTACGTCAGCTTTGACTTTGTTGAGTGTATCAGGGAAAATAATTTGCATGCAGTGAAAAAAAAATCATTCACGACGTGCAACGTTTTGCCATGACAGCAGTTGTTTGCAATCGTCTGCCTTCGTTTAGATCATAAACGAACTCAAAACTTGTGGTTTACGATCGATCAGCTGGTATTTTAACCACCAGAAATGAAATACTTTGTAATAGTTGTGAAAAGTAAACAAAAACGGTGTTGGTTTGTGGTATGAATGTAATTATTTTTGTATCATAATTTTTGAAGTCAGTATTACTGAAAATTATGGTTTATTTTTTTAAATCAACACCAAATTTCGGTGGTCCATATTGATCTTTTAAAATGTTGCGGAAAGACCAGTGCTCAAACGCTAACACTACTACCGTACACGTTTCGTTAATATTTGCACAATGTTTATACCATGTATACATTTGTATGTATACTACCGGTTATACTCTGTTGTTGACGATTCTGATAGAACGGGTGACAAGCTTCCTGTCGCAAACAATGCATATTTATCTAACGTCCATTGTCAGCATTATTATCAGTCAAGACTTCGTCTGAGAAATCGTTTTATTTTCTAAGTCTATATTCTATTTTAATAACACCATCTTACTAACGCAATGGCGATAAAAAGAAAGAAAGCAAAGACGCCAATGATAGACGAGGCAAAGAAAAATCTGCAACTCAGGGTTAGATTTACTAATTTAGACTTGCCTGCAGCCTGTTGTGATTCTGATGCAAAATTACAGGACTTTCGCGTTCAACCCTCATTTATGCAATTTATATTTATTTTTCAAGAATTTTTCATCGGAATCGCAACAGATAGCAAGCACGTCTAGGTCATATTATGACCAACCTCGCGAGTGGTTCGAAGGGGACGATTAGGCTGAAATATTCGCATCAACGCTAGATGACAACACCGATACGTGAGACCGTTGAGGGCCGGTTATCAGACGAGGAAGTGAGTACAGGAAATCTGTTGCTCGTCGACATCGGCCACATAAACAAAGCCATCGTTTCCGTTTATGCAGAGAGCGTGCACTCTAATTTTCCGTTGACACTGCCGTTTTACTAGTAGTCTTTCCATCTTCAGCAGTAGTTTCAATCCATTCACACAGCTTTATTTTTCCTCTAATATTCTTAATAAAACGATATTGATTGCCGAAACAGTTTGACCCACACGCTTTATTTGGGAATTCAAAGTGATGAATATAGTCATAACAAATTATACTTGCTAATGACAAAAAAAAGAAAGTAACATCGTGTGCAACGTACTTCGCGCTCTACTCGCTTTGAAGCTGCCGCCTATGCTAATGAGCATAGTTGCGGACGAAGCCTTGCAACTTCAAGATGCCGTTAATGTTACCAGCTCCCTGGTGTTACACCGTAATAAGGCACCCAACACCAACGTGCATGTGTTTTGTAACCCCTCTCATTCCCTCGGGAAGATGTTATACATGTTAATAAATCAATGTTAAATACTTGCTGATTACCGAACCGTGCGGCATGTTGTCGGTAATACTTGTTTACCGTAGTTCGCGAGCAGTCA